GAATTTTTATCCACAGATATTTGGTAGCCGCAATTACCAAAGGTAAAACGAAATTTTGCAAACTTTCTCAAACTTTGGTCAATCTCGCATGGTCAGTAATCCATCTACACATTGAACATGTGCGGGAAAAATGTAGAAGATGCTAAAAATACACTTACATGAATATATTTTTAATCACATATTTAAACTATCTTTTTATCACTTAATTATTGTATATTGGTATCTAATATTTCCCATGAGTATAAACATAACAGTAAACCGCTGTATGGTAGACTTACAAAAATACATTCTTCGTTTATAATATATATGTGAAATAAATTTAAGCAAACTATTACCAAAGTTAGCAAACAAAAATAAAATTTAACAAAACAGAGATAACTTTATGGGACATAAGACCTTTTTTATATATTAGTTCTTTAAGATTTAGGGGTTAAAGCAGATATTTCAATAAAACATAACCCAACAATTTACTTATGAAGTATATGAACTAGTGTAAACTAGTGTAAACGTAAAATTACTTCAACCATATTTTCCGGCTTTTAGTCAATTATTATCTTTAATTAATTGAGACTAAGCTATTGTTGAATAATGAGCCATCAAATGACAATAACTCCGAGGATATTTTACCAAAAAAATAATAATAATTCCGAGGATAAAGGATGAACCGGAATCTAGAAACTTAATCCGGTCCACGTAAACCAAATCTGGTTTAATTCGTGGCTGTGATTCAGTAGACGTCACTATCCTATTCCCTTATAGATCTTGAACGGACTATAGCCACTATAAAGCACCCAATAATTGATAAACCAGAGAAGCCTATAAATAATACCCCCTGGTTAATACCACTTCAACACTTACAAGTTACAATAAACAAAAATACACATAGCTAACTAATTATTACAAGTAAAACTCAAGAACATGGAGGAGCAGAGCAAGAATAAGATCAGTGAAGAAGAAAAACAGCTTCATGGGAAACGAAGTCGACCAAAGGGAGGATTGATTACTATGCCATTCATCTTTGGTATGAATACGTTATTACTATTGTTTGAGCTTTTTTGTCAAAATTTAATATTCTCTAGTTAATTAAATGGATTATTATTATTATCAGCTAACGAGATATGTGAGAAGTTGGCGGTGGTTGGGTTTCACGCAAACATGATAAGCTATCTAACCACACAGCTTCACCTTCCCTTAACCAAAGCAGCCAACACTCTCACTAACTTCGGGGGAACTTCGAGTCTCACTCCTCTTCTCGGTGCCTTTATCGCCGACTCCTTCGCTGGCCGGTTTTGGACCATCACGTTCGCTTCCATTATCTACCAAATCGTATGTTAATATATAACTTTTTATTCAAAAGAATGTTTGAGAAGTAACTCAACCCTTGTTCTAAATAAATAAACAAAACAGGGGATGACACTACTGACCATATCAGCAATAATACCGACATTAAGGCCACCACCATGTAAAGGAGAAGAGGTTTGTGTAGTAGCGGACACAGCACAGTTGAGTGTACTGTACATAGCTCTTCTTCTTGGAGCTCTCGGGTCGGGTGGGATCCGACCTTGTGTTGTTGCCTTTGGTGCGGATCAGTTTGACGAGTCGGACCCTAACCAAACTACCAAAACGTGGAACTACTTCAACTGGTACTTATTTTACATACTTTTCTTCATATCTATATAAATATCAATAATTCGTAGATCCCTCATGCTTTTATTATTTGTTAAATTGTCGTTACCGTTATAAAGAAAAATTACCTAACATGCTTGAAACATGTTAATGTATTCTGTCTGAACCACCCTACGTGACTAATGACTATATAGCTAACATGACTTTGTAACAGTGCTATTAAGTAAAAAATGCAGCTATTAGCCGTTGAGCCTTGTTGATGTATTTAATCTATAGTCTAAAAAATAAGTAATCATCTAGATGTCTAAAAGTATTTTTCTGAATTATGAGCATGTGTTGATGGAACTATTTTTGTAAACAGTAATTATATTTTGTAGATACTTACTATAAACCCGTTAATAATGAAACTTTTCGTCAATGGATTTGAATGATTAGGTACTACTTTTGCATGGGAGCAGCAGCATTAGTGGCGGTGACTGTGCTTGTGTACATCCAAGATAACGTTGGGTGGGGTCTAGGTTTAGGCATCCCGACAGTGGCTATGTTCTTATCCGTTATTGCTTTTGTCGGCGGTTTCCGGCTTTACCGTCATTTGGATCCATCGGGTAGTCCATTTACCCGTCTGATCCAAGTGGCTGTCGCAGCGTTTCGTAAAAGGAAACTGAGGATGATTCCTGATCCTACTCTTCTATATACCAACGATGAGATTGATGCTCCTATCTCCTTGGGTGGTATACTCACCCACACCAAACACATGAGGTACTAACAATTATATTGATGACTCTTTTTCTCCAGTTTATATTGTTCACCTACACCATATAAGTATATAACTTTGAATGTCACATATGGAAAACTATATATACTATTAACGAAGAATAGTTACAAAATGAGATACCACAATGATTTTGGAAAAAAACTGAAGTGATGCGAGTAGTATATGTAAAACTTTTTTCTTGATTTTGGTCATAACTATTCACTAATTCAGTTGACTGACTGAGTCAGAATTCAGAAGCATACTATTAATCATTTTAAAATCTATCATTTTAATATATTTGATCAAATAAAATACATAGTATCAATCAGCACACTATATTATTATATAATTATAGATATTTCAGATTGTGTATCTGTTTGGCTAAATATATCCACTATCCAGATAGTCACGAGGAATCATAGAAGAATCTAAATATATAAAATGATACTTCTATCAAATAGAACCTGAAAGAGTAAATCAACACTGTAACGTAAACAATTGAGTAATCGTACAACAACTTGCCCACTAGGTGAAACCAGCCAAATCAAAAATCAAAAGTAAAAAAGCATAAAATAAACAAACCATAATTGTGATCCGTGATTCATTACAAACAAACAAATCATTTTTATTGCTTTTGGCCTATATACAGCAATAATTGGGATTATTGGACCCATTTCGTACATAACAGGTCGATAATTGATAGTAACTATTTCTGATTTTATGTTTTACACAGTTTCCTGGACAAAGCAGCTATAGTAACCGAGCAAGACAACTTAAAACCGGGTCAAGTCCCAAATCCATGGAGGTTAAGTACAGTTCATCGCGTCGAAGAACTCAAATCCGTGATCCGAATGGGTCCAATAGGAGCCTCTGGCATCCTCCTAATCACAGCATATGCTCAACAAGGAACATTTTCTCTACAACAAGCCAAAACCATGAACCGGCATTTAACAAAATCATTCCAAATACCAGCCGGTTCAATGTCCGTTTTCACAACTGTTGCCATGCTCTCCACTATTGTCTTCTACGACCGCATATTTGTCAAAATCGCTAGAAAATATACCGGTCTCGAGCGAGGCATAACGTTCCTCCACCGTATGGGAATTGGGTTTGTGATATCGATCATTGCAACGTTCGTTGCCGGGTTTGTTGAGATCAAACGCAAACATGTCGCATTTGAGCATGGACTTTTGGATAAACCACACACAGTTGTTCCCATCTCGTTTCTTTGGTTGATGCCTCAGTATAGTCTCCATGGAATTGCTGAGGCATTTATGTCGATCGGACATTTGGAGTTTTTCTATGACCAAGCCCCAGAGAGCATGAGGAGTACAGCGACAGCATTGTTCTGGATGGCAATTTCGATCGGCAACTATGTAAGCACTTTGCTTGTGACGTTGGTTCATAAGTTTAGTGCTAAACCAGATGGAAGCAATTGGTTACCGGATAACAATTTAAACCGAGGAAGACTTGAGTATTTTTACTGGGTGATCACTGCGTTACAAGTTGTCAACCTCGTGTATTATCTATGGTGTGCCAAGATTTACACGTACAAACCGGTTCAGGTGCATCATAGTAAAGAAGACACTAGTCCAGTTAGAAATGAAGTACAGTTATCCAATAATAAGATAGTTGAAGCGTGAGATCTTTTGGGTATGTATTGTAATCAGTAGTAATATTTATGAACTCAATAAAAAAATAGAAAGTGACTTTTTCAATATTGGTATTATGACTGATAAACATTTTTGTTTTGAAAATTTATATATTTTATCAGAAACTGGAACTAAAATTGCAATAGGCTGAACATGTACATAAGCCAATTTGAATTTATACAAACGAGCTTAGGGTAAAAAAATAACATAAAAGAGCATACTGAAATTGATTTGTTTTTGTTTGAAAACTTATATATTTGACATAAAACTGAAACGAAACCAGTACCAAAATCTGAACATCCTATACAGTTTGATTTTACACTGATTAATATATCTGATCAAAAGTATTTTAAAAAATGATCTTTATCTGACCTGTATTTATGGCTTATGCCACTAATTTTAAAAAATTTTGTATATTCATTAAAGATAATTTGGTTGATTTTTTACTCAAAATAAAATAGTTAGATCAATGAAGAGTAAATCAGAAGAATGGGTTATCTTAATACAGTTATATTAAAATCAAAAGTGAAGTACTATTAAAACTATTGAAAATTTATCAAAAGCATTTTACTGTAAAATAAACTAAAATAGTATTTTAGCTAAAATATTTTTTGTTTAAAAATATCTCCATGATTCTTTTTTGTGTGAAAACCAATTAATTTTATTTCAAAAAATCTCAAAGAAAAACATTTTAACCGAATTAGCAAAACCAGTTCGAACCGGCATGTTTGAGTTAATTGAACCTTATGGGCTGAAATTAATACAAATGGGCCTAAAAGGGGACTGAAATGATAGTGAAAAATAAGCAACGTGGAGGAGACAAGGAAACGTGTTGCGAAAAGTCACGTTCCAAAAAACACATCGCAAGTCATCGGTTTTTATTCTTCGAGAACACGTCTTACATTTTTTTTTCCCCTAAGTTTCCTTTCTTCTTCCGACACATCATGATTCAACAAGAAGAATTTTTCAAAGTCTTTGCAACCGTGTCGGCGAAGCTATATAACAAAAATAAGAGTAGACCAAAGATAAAGTAATAATATGGAGAAAGACATGATCCAGGACGCTAGATCATTCAACACACCTTTGTCCGTTATCACAGAAGCGTTCGAGGATCTAGCAGATTTGCTTAAACCACGGTGGCAAAAACGCTCTGAGATCGACCACAACGACGCCGTATCAAATGATGGATTAAGGCTCGATGCGTTTTGCAGTGCGTGTACTCACGTCTCTGTTTTGTTCGGGTGCCTTGGCTTCGCCTTCAAGTTCGCTGAGATGGAGTACGTCTCCAAGGTTCGAAACCCTTAAGAACTCAATAAATTATATGTTGATGTTTTGATACGAATCTTAAGCCTTAGAAACTGAACAAATGTTTGTTTAAAAAAAAATAGGTTAGAGATTTGGTGGAAGCGTCAAAAACGTTTGATACGTTACAAAACATTCTTGATCTAGATGTTATGAACCAAACGGTTAAGACACAAGGAAGCTATTCGAGAAATCTACGACGTGTTAGACTAGGTTTAGACCTAATCCGAGCCATCTTCGAACAATTCTTAATGACGAACGAGTGTTACTCTTTGAAAGACGCTGCAACAAAAGCTTACACACAAGTATGTGCACCGTTTCACACGTGGGCCGTTCGAACAGCGGTTTATGCTGGAATGTATACACTTCCGACTAGGGACCAACTTCTGTTACGGCTTAATGAAACAAGTGAGGTTTTGTTTTGGTCGAGTTTATGATTCTTTTGGAGATTATGATTCTGACTTGTTGTTTTGTTTTAATGGGTTTGAAGATCAATCTGTGGAGAAGAACATGAGGAGGTACATGGAAGCTTCGAGGCCGATCATAGAGTATATTGACAAGCTTTACATTGATAGGAACATTAAACTGGATTGGTAGCAAATTTTGTTACAAAGAAGGTTAGTCCTTGGACATCTAAAATTGTTGCTTTGTCTTCAAGGCCAATGATTGTTCCTCTCGATGATTTTTAATTCATTCTTGAAATAGATTTTGGATTTGATGACAAAATAACTAAACAGAAAATGATATAGACATCGTTGAATAACAAATTAGTATTATCTTGTTGGTGTTTAATCTAATGAATGCACAAATTTGTGCTTGAAGAAATTATAAGGTTCCGGTGATCAATTGTTTGTCTTTATATGCAATTTACGAGAATCTTAATTTTGGGTTTTACTTATCGTAAAACTAGTTTTGTCTGACAAACATATGACTATGCCACTTCAATAAAAGATTTGTTATTGGTCTATTGGATATAATTCATGGATACTTTTTTTGGAGGATTAGTTCGGTCTTTTTGGAAGCTCCTGGTTCAGAAAATAAACATTTGAGCTAGTTTTGTACCGTGAGAATGAATCAAAAGTAAGTTAAAACGTTTTTGACATTTTGAAGATTTCACGAAACTCCTTTGTGAGATTTAGAATCTGGTTCGAATATTCTTTGTTGAATCCCAACTCTTGAAGTTTTCTGCGCGTCAGCCGCCCTCAAATATTCGTTTAATCTGAGATTTGTGACCATAACTAATAGCATGTTGAAATTTTAAAACATATATCAAATTGACTAATTCAAAATGCATTTTTATAGAACTGATTGAAACAACAATTTTAAATAAACTCCTTTTTTGATAGCTATACTCCTTGTTTGTTAAAGATATTAAAGGTCTTAAGGAAAAAATAATATTTTATTCAACAAGTAAATTTGGTGATATTAAATTCTAATGCGTATAAAAATGAGGATCAAAGTGTTGAAAAAGAATAAGCGACTAAAAAGATAAAACCATGTTTATTTTTATAGCATAAAACTAAATAATGTTATTTGTTATATGAAGATTTATTTATGATAATTAATCTAACTGTTTTATAGAAAAGTATGTATGGCATTTTCAAAAAAAATAGTAATAGTATGTTTAACAATTTAATGAAGTAATTTTAAAAGTTAGTAACTATGTTTGATATTTCATTTGAAATTATAAGTTTCAATCTAGTAATATATCTAAAATTTCTAAACTTTTATTATAATTTATTTATATTTTTTAGAAATAATTGCTTAACTTTTTCTTAATATTTTCTTATTTAGGTTTGGAATTATATTCATTATATTTGTACATGCTATTAGACCAATGTTTTACATGTTATAATCCATTACATATTTTTTATTAATTTATATAATTATTATCAGTGATTAAGAATCGAAATCGCGAAATATTGAGAATTTATGTAATTTCATTTCTTCTGGATTTGAATTCTATTAAGATCCAAATCAAAATAAATTAAACAGATACAGAAAATATCTTAAAAGGATAAAAATTCCAAAGACGTGACAGACAGCTGTCAGAAAGGTAGAAAGAGCGAGTCAAGGAATCCGGAAATCACGCGCTTCCTTCCTTCCTATTACACACAACTTGTTTTCTGTCCTTTTCCCCTTATTTAAAAAAAAAATCTCCCCAAACGGGCCTCCTTATCGTGATGGCAGAAAGACAAAAAAGCCTCTCAAGGGCACTCGCGTAATTTCAACTAACTTAAAAAGGATAATACCGTAATTAAAAACGTAACATCGACGTGGAGCCAATCACTACCCTCGATCTTATCCCCAAAATCGAAACCCTAATCTCTTATATTATTCAAATTCCCCCTTCTTCTTCCTCTCTGTTTTTTTTCTTCTTCTCATTCACAGAGAGAGAGACGATTTGGGAAGCTCACGTTCTGTGGGAGGAGGTTTTAATAGATATGGCGTGGTCGTCGGAAACGCCGTCGTATTGCGGCTGGAACGAGCGGCGTGTGAAGAACGGGAAGGGGAAGATTGAGTTTCGTTATTACCTCGAGAGGAAAGACGGGTGTGTAGATCTAGCGGTTGTTGGGAGGTTGAAGAGCGATTCTAAACGCATGTCGTTTAGATACGCGTTGAAGAAGAATCGCTCCTTATTGAAGAAGCTTAGCTCTGTTGAAGACGTCAAGGGTTGGCTCGATTCGATTGTTTCGGGTAATTTTTCTTAATCTCTTAATTGATTTTCTTCTTCTTGGGCATGTGCCTTTTTGTTGATTTTGAATTGGGTGCGAGATAAAGTTTAGATCTGGACTCGTATGAGCTCAAAAAGAGTTTATTTTTTTTTTAAATTCGCATAGCTTTTTGTGAAATTTCTGTAAAAATTGATTTTTTTCGTTACTATGCGGAGATTTTGATACGATTTTGCAAACCTTTTTTTTCTTTCGACGATTTGATTAAGAGGTTAGAGTCAATTGGTTGTGAGATAGAAGATAGGTTTAAGGTTTGAGGCAATTGAGGCTTTTGCCGCTTCTCTCATGTGCCAGGCAATTGGTTTCTGTGTTTTATCTTTAGGGTTTTCTTGTTGATAGAGATTTTCTGGTGAATCCTTGGAATCTCTAAGTTAGGTCGAATCCTGTAGTTTGGCGGAGTAGAACAAAGGAGAAAGAAGAAGATATGTTTTGAATAAATAAATAGGCCAACTTATGTTCTGTTCTCTGGTAGAAGAGAAAAAGTCCAACTTTTTAATAGATTTCGACAAAAAAAAGCTTAAAACTCAAAAGCCACTAGAGACCAACGCCTCAGATCCAAGAAGCTAGCGCCTTCTAACGCCTATGCCCAAGGCGTTGTTGGAGAACCTCTACGCCTTGGTGCAACTTGACTCTCATGTTATGATTGAGTCATGTGATTGCCTGCTAGGTGTTTTAATACTAAAGCTTGTGTATAGGGGTTAATGAGGTACCTATTTGTTTGTTTGCAGAATATGTTTAGTGGAAATATTTTTTCTTTGTGTTAGAGCTCTTACACCCTTTCGTTGCGCCTTTTGCAGCTAAATCTATTAATGACTTAATTTTGCTGCAGACAGATCCGCTCTCCACCTTTTTGGTACTGAGCATGTCTGCATTGACTTGATTTTCTCTTACAAGTCTTGTTGTATCTGGAGATTACATGTTGAATTCTTGCTGATCTATTTCGGTTTTGGTTTTCTTCATTTTCTTAGGTGAGATGCCTCATGTAGCAGATGTACCAGCTACTACTATGACTGAACAAGCTGCTGGAGGATTCAACATTAGCTCTTTCATGGTACTGCTTGCGATCACTTTTTTTTTTCATCAATGATCAGAGTGTCTCCTTGTTAGAAAACTCAGTATTGATCTTTACTCGTTTGTTGCTTTTCAGAGTGGTAAATATCAGAAGCCTATTCATCCGACCGTTGATTTCTCCTGGATGGGTACTTCTTTGACTTGCAGGAAACGGCGAAGGCATTATCCGTCTTTCTCTCGGAATGGTGTCACAGTCTCGGTGAGTTTATATACACTGTTTCTATTATAATTCATTTTGTGAATTTTTTGGTATCTAGTATATTTTGTTTCTTTTCCTTATACTAAAGTGGACCTTTTTTTTTGCCGTAAACTCGTTGCAGGTGAATGATTTTGTGTATGTTTTAGCGGAGCAAAACAAGAGACTCATCGCATACTTGGAGGACCTTTATGAGGATTCCAAAGGCAACAAGATGGTTGTGGTACGATGGTTTCACAAAACTGATGAAGTTGGTGTTGTTTTGTCCGATGAAACTGATGACAGAGAGATTTTCTTTTCTCTTTGTCGTCAAGATATCAAAATCGAGTGCATAGATGGATTGGCTACTGTCCTCAGTCCTCAGCATTATGAAAAATTTCTCAAGTTGCCAATGTCTGTTCAGCTACTACCTTTCTTCTGCCAGAAAGTATATGGAGATGATGGTATAGAGCCTTATGACATCACGCAGTTACAAGGTTACTGGAAACAAGAAATGCTTAGATACTTGAATGTTTCCAGTTTCAAGTCAGGTGAAGATGCTCAGGTACTTGGCACTGACCCAGAAACAGGAGCTTCTCTTGTTGGTTTCGTTGGAACTAGATCCAAACGGCGTCGTTCGGCTGATGACTGCAAAGCTAGCCCGGATTCTGTTGACGTGGAGGCTTCAAACGCTTCTATGGGCAAGGGCGAAAAAGATGGTTATTCTCATCACATCAAAAAAGGTTCTCTGGTTGAAGTTCTTTCCCAAGATAGTGGCATCAGAGGTTGTTGGTTGAGAGCATTGATAGTGAAGAAACACAAGGATAAGGTTAAGGTCCAGTACCAAGACATTACGGATGCAGATGATGAATCTAAAAAGCTAGAGGTACATATTTGGAAACCCACCCATTGGTTTTGTTTTCTACCTTCCACTGTGTTATAACATGTTTCATTTCTTGGTTGCAGGAGTGGATTTTGGCATCTCGTGTTGCTGATAGTGACCATCTGGGACTTAGAACCGCAGGACGGAAGATAGTACGCCCAACTCTGAAGCCCAGCAATGAAAAGGATGCATGCGCTGTCGGTGTCGGTATGCCTGTGGATGTGTGGTGGTGTGATGGATGGTGGGAGGGGATCGTGGTGGAGAAAGTTTCTGAAGAGAAATTCGAAGTTTACTTGCCAGGTGAGTAGACGTTACCTTTAAATGGAAGTATGATAGCAAATTAGTCAATCTTTTTGCGAGACTGACTTTTATTTTGTTGGTAACTTTCTCTCAGGTGAAAAGAAAATGTCTTCCTTCCATCGTAGGGATCTTAGACAATCTATGGAATGGGCGGCAGATGAGTGGGTGGACATAAAATCAAGATCTGATCTCGTGGGTTCTGTCCTATCCTTGATGAAGGAGAAAGAGGTCGAGGTGAAACATGATGAAAAGCTATCTGGTGCTGGTGATGGTGATGGTGTGGTTTCTCCAAATGGTGAAGCTAAACCAACCGTCTCTCTTTCGGTAGCTACAACCAATAAGTCGTCTACTAAGCAGCCAGTTCCAGATCTTCTAAAAGACGTCTTGGTCTTTGATTTAAATTGGGAGCCATCGAAGAAGCGGAAAAGATCTGCCAGTTACGGTAGACACAAGCCTAGCGCAGCTGAAGGTTTGTCACGTGAAAGATCCTTAGATTGTCAGAAGTGCAGTTCCATGGGAGATTCTCTGTTTAGCTCTCCTGTTGTTAGCCGAAGGAAGCGTAATCGAATTGTCAGTTACTGTCCGCACAAACCTAGCTTGACTGATGGCTTCTCATGTGAAAAGCCTTTGGACTGTGAGAACGGAAAGTTCATGGGAGACTCTGTGTTCGGCTCTTCGGTTGGTCAGAGTTTGACTGGCCTAGTGATGTCAAGATGATGATCATCAGCTTTGGGATTGGAGTGTGTTTCGTCTTGTGAGGTACATATTACCTTAATGGGTTTTGGGGTTTTAGATTATTGTGACTCGCAAGATTTTCTTTGGGATTTTTATAGGTTTTTAGCTCGTCATGGCATCCAAATTCGTTTGTGTATGTGTAACAGTATGCATAGAGCTTTCTAATACAGATTGCAAGTTTTGGGTGCAATAGAAGGTAGGTAATAATAGCATTGCCTCGCTAGGTGTTTTATTAGACATTAAACAGTGTTTTTTCTTTTTCTTTTCAGAATTAATTATGTTTTCTTTCTTTAGCATAGAGATACCATTTGTTTTGTTTTTTCGTTCTGGTTTGATGGGATTTTTTCTTTTCATGTAAACTATGTATTATTAAATAAAACCAAAATCTCTTACCTTGAGTTCAACTTCAATGTTCATATATGTATATAACACTTTTTGAACTTGTGTTGAATTGTATTAGCTGATGTGAGGCTCACATATAATAAGAACTTTGAAGCACTGGTTTGTGAATTTGTTATGATATTTTCGAACTTGCAGGACACATGATTGTTAGTAACTTCTGTCCTTGTTCATGTCCCCCATAAGGGTTTTGCGGGACCAACATCAAATGAAATGGATCCCTCTTTGGTTGAAGTTTAGCTGGTAACAAATGTTATTTTGTGGAGGTTTAGACCTTTACGTGAAACCCATCATTTATGATATATAACTCATTGAGAGTTTACAGTCTGTTAATGACTGTAAGAGCACTTGTATTTTAACCTAATTCTGATGAAAAGGTGGTAAATCATCCTTTTTATGATGGAAATACCAAAGTGGGGTAAGGTAGAAAAGGTAAAGAGCTAAATAAATGTATAGACTCGGACAGAACCTACCTTCTACTTTGAATGATATTGGTGGGGTTGCATTTCGGTGAATGAAGCATCTTTATCAAACTATGCATAAGAGAGGAAACAACAGGTCTTGACTTTTACACTCTGAAATATGGTATACATTAAGTCATTGATCCAAAGCATAGTAGTATATGTCTGCTTGTGTGTTAACATGTCTCTTGTCTCCGTGAACTTGATTTTCTCCATAGAATGAAGCAAAAGAAAAGATGAGCTTCTTCTGCCATCCACTTAAGTAGATCTGGTAGCTCATCCTTTTCCGGATTGCAACACTCTTCTTTTCCCACTTTTTGGTTTGGTGGTTTCTGCATCATCTTTATTCCTGTTTTATTTTACTTCCTTGTACAACGAGACACTGTAACGACTTCTCAGTCTGACATTGTCAAGAGCTTGGAGCATCATCACCAAGAAACAAGCTTTCAGTAACAAGTAAAAGCAGTCTAGCTTTTGGTTGCATCGTTATCCATGCCTCTTGTTCGTACTCCTTGAACACTTCCATCTTTTAAAGATGCAACTCGTTGGTTCAGTAAATAGTCTTTGTCTGTAATCAGATTCAGGAAATTGTTTTATCAGCAGACATCAGATGTAGTGACTGCCAAGAGAAGATCGCTGATATAATGTCCAGGATGTATTGTTCGGTAAGACATAGTTTACTTCTTCTCCACATGAGACAATATTTTGCTCTTCTCTCATAACAAACTGTTCTTTTGGACGCAGAAACATATTCAATATTGGTGAGCGTATTTGAGAAGAAAGTGACATTGACATGTACATATTCTGGTGACTGGAGGAGCTCTTCTCTGCTAAGTGTCCACCTTCAAGCGTCGGATATTTACTTCTCCGAGGAAGCAATAACTTTGTTTAGTTTTTACTTTTATTGTCATCCCCTTTGCAATATGATGGAGATATTGTTTTGATATGATTGTAACAAATAAATCTCAGTAACATAATATCAATAGACAATGGAAAAAGGACTTAAATTCTTGAAATGCATTTTTAAAAAAAAAAAGAGATTATTGGGAAGTTAAATTGCCGCCACTTTGTTGCCAGAGATTGATGATGTCAGTAGCTTGATTAAGGAGAATGATCATCTTCTTCTGAGAGATCCATGGCTTAGCTTCAAGTGTAGTCTTTAGCTCTTCCCAAGCATCTTTTCTTGGCCAGAAGAAGTAAGGACTAAGTGGGATTGTCCCATGTCCTGGAACATGCTGGTCCAATCCTAATCCTATGTTCTTCTCCATCCACACAAACTTAAGAACCACTCTTGCCTTCTCATCTTGCTGATTCACCACCTAAACACATAACAACAACAACAGCTATGGTTTTTTGAGTTTGTCTGTAACAGAACACTAAGTAGAAGAGTCTGTTGTTGTTATGTTACCTGTTTTGGTTGTGTAGTCTCGGAAGTGTCAATGCCAGTGACTGGTTCAGAAGTGAGCGTCTCTGGAGCTGCAAGAGCCACGGTTCTCCTGTTTAGAGAGATGGGTTTGGTGGATTGGTTATGGAACGAGGGAGAAGCTTTGATGGTGAGTTTTGGACGTTGAGAAATGAGAGAAGAGCAGAGGGAAGCAGATGAGTGAAGTGCCATTGATGACATCATTTTTCTTCTTGTTTCTTGTTTCTTGAAAGAACAATGGAGATTTTATGAGAATGGATAAGATAGAAGATATGGTTTCATTTTGGATGGAGTTCCAAATTAGTTGACCATTATATGGGCTTTGTTGACTTGGCCCATTTATTTGTGTACTTGGGCCCTTTTAAACCTTATGTGTGACCCAATAACTGGTAGACTCGCTTTAAGATCCGAAAGGTGTGTCTAACGGTTAACTTATAGAAAGGTGCATTACATAGCGTCCCTACGTGCTATCATCATATGATAAAAAGTGTCACAACGTTACACAATTCAATATATATAAATAAGACAAAAACAATCATTAGAACATAAACATTGCTTCTTCAACAAGTCACACAAAACCATGAACCCTTCATCCAACGACACACAAGTCCCAAACCATGGCAAACCCAAACGTTGGTCGACTGATCTATGCGAATGTTGGATGGACATAAACTCATGTTGCTTAACGTGTTGGTGTCCATGTGTTGCATTCGGACGCATCGCAGAGATTGTAGACAGAGGAGGATCATCTTGTGGTGTGAGTGGAGCGATGTACATGATCATATTCATGCTTACTGGATACGCAGGGAGCAGTCTCTACTCTTGCTTTTACCGAACCAAACTTCGAGGCCAATACAATCTCAAGGAGAGACCTTGTTGTGATTGTTGCGTTCATTTTTGCTGCGAGCCGTGTGCTCTTTGTCAAGAGTATAGGCAACTTGAACACAAACGTGCCTTCGACTTGTCTATTGGGTGGCATGGGAACATGGAACGTCAGGCACGGATGGCTATGTCTGCTTCTGCGGTTCCTCCATCGGTTCAAGCGCCCATGTCTAGGTTAAATTAGATTGGTTTTTGTCTGTATTAACTATTTAGTTGTTTTGAATCCTAGTTTGTATTAATAGTAATTGACATTCTTTACTTCTCCGATTAAAATGTGTCTATTATAAGTAAGTAAAATTTCTTAACAAATTATAATTTAAAAGTAATTTGATTGCTACCGTGTAGAATGCTACCATTGTTTTGGTGTTTTTATACCAAACTTTGTTTACTGCTGATTCAAGGAAAATATGACATTAAATCTCTGATACCATGACAATATATTTCAGCATAAAGATTTGACCGGCAATGTTATTAATGATGCTAGTGGTTCAGACAGTGACTAAACCAACTCACATGTTGAAATGTTTCCACACGGATATGCTAAAACTAGTTATGTTAAGTATAGTTTGACAAAACTATTCAACCAATTCAATATTTCTTCTGAGTTCTGACCCTATGCTGTGGAAAATGGGACTATGGTAGATTATCACCCACCACCAGAATATTTGATGCATTCGTGCCACATTTTCATCTTTGTAATTGCAATTCTTATTTATAAAAACCAAACTATAACACGACTTGTTGAATGGAATTTTTAGAGAAATACAATTGATTATATATGACTATAATCCTCCATCGACTAGCTTACAAAGAAATTAATCGCGTTGATATTTGTCCTCCCAGCTCATTGGATTAGAACAAGTCTTTTTCGACTGACTTACAAAGAAATTAAACGCGTTGAATATTAAATTGCCCTGCCAGTTCATTGGATTAGAACAAGTCTTTCAAGTCTATTCACGCATACTAAGTAAGTATTGACGTCCACATTCTGAAGACTAAAAATGTTGCTATGAATAAAACCCATATTTTTATCAAAGAAAAACTTTGTCTGTTTTTAAATGAGTGTCACTTTGACACTTTGCACATAAAATAAAAAAAATTATATAATACACTAATATATTTCTATTTAATGTATGTTTAATTAAATGAAAATAATTTAACTAAAATATCATTGGTTATTCAAAAAAGTAAAAAGTAGATTTTATGTACAAAATTACATTAGGATTGTAGAATAACACTTTGTAAAACAAAATTAAAAAGTTAAAGTGACATTTATTATGAAACAAAGTTTTTTATGAAACCTATGGAATATTAAACAATTAAAAGAAAAAAAAGATAAAAACAAAAATTATACAGGCAAAAATGAATGATAGCATATACTTTGTAATATATACATAATATCATACCGTGACCAATTTTTATAGTTAATTTTTTTTGGTTATTTTGCCTAGTTTCTTCATAAAAAGGGTAAACAGAGAGAATTTATTTGTATATATGTGTGCCACTTATTCTCATGGAAGATGTTTGCCGACAAAGAGAAAAAATATCATGGAAGATCTCAAATCAATACCTCTAATCGTCAAATTATCTCCTATTTTTGTTGTTGACGGTCAATTTGTTACATTGAAGAAAATCACGGGATGTGTCCGGTCCTAGACATTTACTTCAGTATCTACAAAGAAAAGTCACATTTTTGTGAAAAATAAAAATAAAGTAGAAATATTTTCAAACTTAATTTCATATCCTCCTCCTATATAAGGATCTCTCATTACATCATCACTCCCCAAACTCTCTATCCAAAGCTCCTTTAACAACTATTTAGTAAGACCTCTTTTGGTGTCACGAAGCTGCACAAACCACACTTGAAAAGAGAAAAATGGAAGCAACCACAATAACCCATGTGACGACCAATAACCCTAATAACACCAACCTTCATGGAGCGGTCGTAGAAGAAGTGGAAGGCCTTATTAAAGTTTACAAAGACGGCCACGTGGAACGTTCACATAGACAACTCGACAAACTTATGGGCACGTCTCTATGTCCCAAAGGTCACCAAGTCCTCCTCGGTCTCTAAGCTTCCTTTGATTGTCTACTTCCACGGTGGAGGTTTCTGCGCCGGCTCGGCTTCTTGGTCATGTTACCACCAGTTCATGGCTCGATTGTCCGCAAAATCACGTTGTCTGGTCATGCATGTAAATTACCGTTTAGCCCCTGAGAATCCTCTTCCAGCAGCATACGAAGATGGAGTCAACGCCATTCTTTGGCTCAAGAAAACAAGAAACGATAACTTGTGGTCCAAGCTATGTGACTTTGACCGTATATTCTTGGCCGGAGACAGCGCCGGAGGCAACATAGCCAACCATGTCGCCGCCGACGCTCTTATAAAGCCATTGAATATAGAAGGAACGATCTTGATCCAGCCTTTCTTTAGCGGGGAAACGCGTACGGAGAGCGAGAGGCGCGTGGAGAACAACACGAAGAGCTCAGTGCTGACACTTGCGTCTTCAGACACGTGGTGGAGACTGGCTTTGCCACGGGGTGCAAACAGAGAGCATCCGTATTGTAAACCGGTGGAGATTAAGACGAGGACGCTGGTGTGCGTGGCGGAGATGGATGTGCTGATGGATAGGGCGATAGAGATGTGTGATAGTGATGAGAAAATGAATAAGTGTGTGGTGTACAAAGGCGTTGGTCATGCGTTTCAGATTCTTGATGAGTCTCCGCTTGGTCACAAGATGACTCTTGAAATGTTGTGCGACATCGAGGCTTTCATCCACCACTTTGAGAGCCTTTAAGTATTAGTTATGTATTTTGTAAAGTTTTTATGGTAGCTCTTATATGTTTGTATCTTAGATACTAAAATGTTTTTGGGAATTAAAATAACTCGATAATAACCTGCGTTCTGCAGGAGAAAGTATCTATTAATTATTGTGTAACATTTCATTTTAAAATTATAGACACAAGTAAAACTTTAAATGTTTAGAGCTTTTGAAAAAAAAAATTGGAGCAATTATGTAATCAGTATTTTTAGTTTTGATGTGTTCATGTTGCCTGCATGAACTTGGCCAAACAATTATCTCATGGTTAGTTGAGGAAATATGATCTATTAATTGAGTTCATGCAAAATTTTGAGACCAAAGTTGCAAGTTTGTACTGATAACAAAATTGATAACTAAAGAAAGGAATGCTAATAACTGAAAGGACCCTAACTAAATGTCTCAAAGAATGTCGTAGAGATAATTGTAGCGGAGCCTAGTTCACAGTTAGTTGGCTTTGAAGTTTGAAGGCAACCTCAATTTTTCTTCTTTCTCCTTTTCTATGCTTTTTTAGTTTTGTCATACAAAAATAAATTATATGCTGCTATTATCAATTTGTCATCTATCACTTCGGAAAACAGGCATTATCAAATTCTAAGACACAAACTTTGACCATTTATTTTTTGTTTACAGATGTTTTTTACTCTTGAAATAATGCAAAAGTTGAAAATAGGTTGCGGGCAATTTATTTTTGTAAATGGACCAAATTAATCCAATAGTCAAACATTCTTCAGTAGTTATGTTTACGTGACCAATTATAATCTATGGGATAATTTGAAAAAAAATAAAAATAAAAACTTTTAAATTTAGACATGTATCGGAACTTATGGCCAAATATTTGAGGTTTGTATTTAGGGGTAATACTTGCTTTACCTTTGTTGGAACTTATGACCAAATATTTGTAAAAACTAATGTTTAATTGCAAACAAGTATTATATTAAATAAATTCCCCATTAGTTTCCTGATTTTCTCATCGGAAAAAGTTTTTTTTTTTGTCTTTAAAAAATGTATAGAACCCATTCATCTGGGAAACAACGTTAGAAAAAAGTGATTCTAAATTATTATTTGCTATTTGGGAATTATTGTTGCATTATCTTTGAATTGAAAAAAAGGATGGTAAATTATCTGATGTATTATTAATTACTGAAATCGGAAACTGGAAAATGTACGGTGATGTGCCGGTGTTCATGGCGGAAAGAGCATTGTTCAGGGATCAACCGTACGCAGGAGAACTTCCTCAGGGACTATGGACCACCGGTCTTTGTGATTGTCACGCAGATGGTCACATTTGTACGTTCTTTCTTTATGTCTTCTTAAAATCATATCATCTTATTTCTTCTTTTTCTTGTTAATTTGATAGAATCTTTCTTTCTTGTATCAAAATGGATATTCTTGAAAAGGTGTTCAGACAGCTATATTGCCATGCGTCTCCTTCGCTCAGAACAGCGAGATCGTAAGCAGAGGAACCATACGTAAGCAACACGTTACCTACATATTATGTTTGTAAAAAAAAATCTAAAGTTTGGGGGAATGTAGCTTGTCTGAACGCAGGTTTGATTCATCTAGCGTTAGGGTTTGTTGGTTGCTGTTGGCTTTACGCGTTTCCAAGCAGGTCAAGGCTTAGAGAACATTTCGCATTGCCTGAGAAACCATGCAGTGACTATTGGGTTCATATATGTTGCACACCATGTGCTATCTGCCAAGAGTCTCGAGAACTCAAGAACCAAGGCGCTGATCCTTCCCTCGGTATGTATTTTTAGTTGCTTTAGACCATGATTAACCAATAGTTTTTAGGGTGAAGTTCTTATTGGAAGTTAAGAAACTGTTTCTTAATTTTTAATTAAAAAACTAAAAACTCATTTTTAGTAACGACTTTAAGAATCGGTTCTTTGCGTTTTTAGTTAAAAATTAAAAGATAATTTATTAACTTCCGCGAAAAACGTTACCTTAAAAATCCCAGATTAATCATACTCTTAGAACTAAAAGGATCTTAGCTTTTCTACAAATTAAAAGCTCATTATTATATGTTCTGGTGTTTTTTTCAGGATGGGTTTCGAATATAGAGAAATGGAGACGAGATAAAATAACTCCTCCCATTGTTGTACCAGGCATGAAGCGCTGAGTGTTGCCTTGTCTCTTACGTTATATAACTGTTGTGTTAGATCTTGTTAGCTTCTTGCTTTTTTTTCTTTCTCAGTTTAGCATAGGGAAAAAGTCAAAATAAAAACGATTATGAAAATGGTAACGTTTACTACATACTAAATAAATTTATAACAGCTGGTCTAAAAGGCTACAGAGGAGAGAGAGCTATGCTCAAAGGCTTAGTCTCTTGGTCGGGCTAACCATAAGGAGCTAAGAGCTCTAAGTCGACAAATATAGTCATGGATGACCAAAAAGGCACGAGCAGCTTGTCTTGTTGTCAGAATCCTGTGAAGCTGTTGCAAAGTTTGTTGCCTCAATAGATCTGCCTGCAAATATATTCAGTTTTAATTTTATTTATTTATAAATGTTAATTGTTGCTTGTGAGAGGTTTTGTTTTGTTTTACCTGACGAAGGAAGTTTTCAAGAGTGCCAAGCTTCCCCATGGCCATTGCCATATGACCCATATAGTCAGCAACATTTGCTGAAGAGTTTGGACCCATTGAAGCAGATGAAAGCGTCTCTAGAAGCGATTGTTGCAGAGCTTCCATGCCTTGTGTCAATGCATCCTCTGCTTGCTGAGATGACTGCTGGAGATTACAGATTCCTATCAACTGCTGATCAGTCAAGGGATCTACATGGTTCCCCAATATCTACAAACAAAAACACAAAAAAAAACTAAAGCAAAGAAGATCAAAACAAATGATTTGAGTGAGGCCTTTGATTTACCTTAAGTAGCTCAGATGATCTGAATCCACCTAACCACATGAAGAATCTCTCAGCAGGGGTCTGCCACATGCCTGAGAGCATGTGGAAGACGTCCACTTTAGTACCAATTCCTTTTAGCCTAAAAATCTCATCGTAGTGACTCATCACAGCATCCACTAGTACACGTAGCTCGTTGTCATTTAGCTGCGAATGCACACCCGCTCTCAAGTCGTTGATCAGCCTTTGATGTTCCTCCATCCAACGTGCATATTCCACTTCAAAAGAAAATACACCTACAACATTCATTCTTAGTAAAATCATTTCACATTAATAAAGTTCTATAAAAGGAAAGTCTTACCATTTCCGGCAGCAACATGTGTGTTTTCCCTTGAAGCTCCTCTCTCACCAGAACATCCCTACATAACAGAGAATACCCATTAACACAAATCAAAAAAAGTTGAAGACAGTAGTGTAGACAACAGTCGTTTCCAGACCTGTTGACGAGCTCTTTTGAGCTCTTCCTCTAGCTGCGCTAGCCTGATCCGACTGTTCTCAAGTTGCTGAACATATGCCTATTAAGAGACAATGCAAGCATATTCAAAAATAATGGAACATGAAAAAATGTTGGTTAAATGATTCAACTAATATACTTTTTTCCTCAGCCGGCTTTTCCTAGCAGCCTCCCGGTTCTGAGCAAGTCTTCTAAGCGCCTGCCAATAATTTGAAAGTTAAAGTTGATTAACCTTTAAACTACAACTAGTATCTACCCCTTTGTTCACTAGGTTTCACCTTAGATTGATCTGCACAGTTTGTAGCCAAAAGCATCCCTTGATGAACTCCATTTAACTGAACAACACAAGCAAAGTACATAAGAAACTCAATATGCAGTAATCAAACTAAAAAGGAAAAAGAAAATGAAAGTAGTTTTCATTTAAAGCCATGGGCCAATGAACTCATGTTATACCATACAAAAAGCATAAACACTTTACAACAAATTACATATTATTAAACCATGGGGCCAGTGGATTCATATTACTATATCAATAAAAAGCATGAAAAAACTTTACAAGCATCTATTGAAGTTCCATCCCATATCTAACAAAGGAAGAAACAGCACATGTTATGGGCAGTAAAGCTACACAACCAATCATCCATGGTGAGTTTCATTAGACCCATAAAAATAAAAACAGACAAGCCATCATTGAAATAGACGAGACACAGAGAGAGAGGGACACAGTCTTTCAGTAAACAATGTCTGTGATCGAATCTCAAGGTGACCCATCAATGGCAAATTACAAAACCAACAAGAGACAAGACAAAACTCCAAGTGAAGACACAAAACAGAAATTAAAAAAAAACAGAATCTTTTGGTGAGAGTGAATGAAATTTTAACGAAGAAGACAAAGGAACAAAACCTGAGACTTGTCATCAGTATCAATATCTGTGGAAGTGTCAGTATGTTGACTGTTATCAGCCATGGCTGAAACCGAATCACACCACTTGTCTACTAAACTGCTGTTCACTTCCCCTACTACTCCTCTCTGATACATTAACTGTCCTGTGTCCAAACACTCCTCTTCTCCTTCATGTCTCTCCCTCAACCCACACTCCATGACCTTAACAAAACAGAGTACACATTGAAATAAAAAGAAAAATGTTAAAATAAATATTATAAAAAGATGTAAAGGAATCAACTTTTATACCGTATCAAACGTCGTGTAGTGTAAGTTGTTGGAAGCAGCAACAGTGACATCTACAGAGAAGATTGATTCTTTCAAACAAAATTCTTTTTTTTTAAAACTAAAAGCTTAAGACTTTGTACTTAAACAAAAAGAGAAGAAGAAAGAAAGTAAGTAAGAAGCTGACTTGGACTTAAACCAGCAACAGCTTCGTCATGGTGAAAAGCGTTAACGGGTTCATGAAACTCATCAAGACAGCTGTCTCCTCTGTTTTTAAACCAGAGAAAGAAAAAAAGATTGGTTCTTTTTGTTATTCTTTTGTGTACTTTTGAAGATAGAAAGGAGAAGTGTACCTGAAGAAGAAAGAGGCTTGGGAGTAGAAGTCAGGGTTGAAAGGAACGGTCTTGAAGCTGCTTTGCATATTTTGTTTGTTTGAGCTTTTTCTTGTGGAGATTGTGGTTTCAGTTGAATAAGAAAGAGTGTGAAGTTTTAAAAGGGAAGAGGGAGAGGAAGAAGATTCATTAAAGGGTGAAAAGATGGCGAATCAGTACGGCTGGCTGGGAGAGGAATTCATCATTAATAAATACGAATAATAATGTTGTAGTAATGTGTAATGCAGAAAGATAAAGACAGAGAGAGAATCAGAGAAAAAGATTAATGAATTGCGTCTGAGAGGGTGGGATTTTAGTTTCCCGATACCCAACACACACAACCACGTATCCCCCCATTTTTTTAATAAGATCATTTGTTTGATACACTAAAGAATATTATTATTGACCCAAAAAAAAACAAAGAGTATTATTATAAGTTTATAACTCTATTTCACTTCAAAGTCTGAATTAGATTTGGGTAAGTATAAATGAATTTTTTTATTATAAAATTAAATATTTAAGGGTAAAATTTGTTTGCCATATAAAAATACACGTAAATGTATAAAACCTTAAGTTTATTAATGCTTGAGTAAATACATATAAGAATACTTTGTATCTTAAAAAAAAACTACATATTTTTTATTAGTATTAATGCTTGAGTAAATACATATTTTTAAATTTATTTGTTTAATTTTACTATTTTCTAATAATCCATAGTTATTAGGAACTAGGACTAGTTACTGCTCGGGTAGAAAAATTCAAATCATAGCAAATCCCATAATCATATTTATTAATTATTTCTTCTATTTATTTATTTGATATTTTAGTATTATGTGTACGGATTAAAAAATAGTTTTTCAATCAATAATAAAATAGAAATCATAATATCATTGGTCATTACATAAAATTTTGAAAACGTCAAATAATTTAGAACAAAAATTTCTCTAAAACTTCAAATATAAAAAATAGAGGAAGTATTATAGTTTACGGTCTTGTTTTATTCTTTCCAGTCATATTTAGTTTACTAAAGACAAAATCATTAAACAACACTGCCTAAAATATACTGGGGAATGTAATTGATGAGATACCCCACTCTACTCACTGGAACTGGTGTAACGAACGTATAGCTAAGTTATTTTGAATCTACCAAATCTTGAAGTGATTAGTTCAAAGTTAGAACTAGGGCTGGGCAAAAAACCCGGATCCAAAGAACCGAACCGAATCCGATCCGAAAAAGTAGTATCAAACCCGAACCGAAATTGATTCAATATCCGAATGGGTTCAAAATTTTGGTATTTAAAGAACCAAAACCGAACCCGACCCGAACCGAAGTATTTTGGGTACCCGAATATATCCGAAAGAGATTTATATACCTATATATATTAATTATTTTAGATTTAATATATATAAAAAAACATTCAGTATATATATAAAATACTTTGAAGTTATTCAAAATAGTTGTAAATATATGTAAATAGTCAAACATACATGTCTAAAATTGCTAAAGTACACTCAAAACATCAAAAATACTTTAAAAAAAATTATTGATTCACAATCCAAATATTCAAATCAAACTAATTTATATGTTAATTTTAGATATTTTGACTTATATTATTCAATTATTTGTAATATATGAATTTGTTTATAATTTTTTAGAAATTTAAAGTATATAATCAATTTTAAAATTTTAAAAAAAAAATTAAATGGGTTATCCGAACCCGAACCGAATCCGCAAAGATCCGAACCGAACCCGAACCGAAATTTAGAAATATCCGAATGGGGCTAAAATTTGTGAACCCGAAAACCCGAAACCCGAATAGATCCGAACCGAACCCGAATGGGTACCCGAACGCCCACCCCTAGTTAGAACTGTGGATTCGAAAATGTTTTGTTTTGAAAAATTCTAAACAGGACTGGGTTGTAATTGCTTTTAATATTCTTTTTCTTTTATTTTTAAGCATATCTGTGTAATTTAACCAGCAAACCATTTTTACTGAAGTAATATAATGTAATAGTTTAAGCATGGAATAAATGTGTATATTTTGTCTGTATATATGTAATGCAGAGCCTGGATATTTCAGATGCAGAGAGTCATTTCCATCTTGTTACTGTCTGCCAAAGTTGAAAATAGCCTCTCTACACTGCACTTTGAGTTAATTTCTTCCCATTCGCAAAAAGGAAATACTTACAAACTTGTTTTTGTTTTATCTAATTAATTCAATAAAACATACTAGTAATGGTTTTTGAAAGACTTATTTGTATATACTTGATAGAATAAAAGTTGTAATCGATGCATAATCGGATTGTATGCAGTGTACTCATGAATCATGATGAATTGTTGAGACAATGCGTTTCTTTTCTTCTCTCCTCTCTCTTATAAATTTCAAAACAGGTAAATTAAGCTATACCTAAGCCTAGTCTAAGCTGTTATTTGTCGATGAGTTTTTTATTAAAATCTCAAGGAGTATCTCTTTTTGAACAACTCTCAAGGAGTATCTATTTTTATTAAGTCAAATAAAACGCATATCACTGAAAACTAATAGCAATAGGCAGGCAAAGTCTGGCTTGGCTTCTGCCCTGAAGCTGATGTGATCTTGATGGAAAGCGAGATATATAATCTTCCATTTTAATTATAAATTCATCAAACACTAATAAATAAATGAATTATACACCAGAGTTTTTATTTTTATTTTAATACATCAGAGTTATTAACTCAAAATCAGTAGACCGATGAAGAAGGGCATTAAAACGAAAGACATTGCTTGAAAGAAACATCTTCCTCTTATAAATGGAGAAACGATAATGAGCATTATGTTTTTATAGATACCAAATTAAGTTTGTACATTTATTACTGTCTCCTCTTCTATAACCAGCAAACTCTAGTTCCTCTCGGGAGCTCCACTGACCTTTCTTATACCAATATTCACTTTTTTTGTAACTCTAATTAAACATGCATAGTATTTATTTGGTATAAACCGGAGATTGCAATGTACATATCTTTTATCCACCATACAGAAAACGTACCAGTTTTGAAAATGTTTGGACCATAGAGTACATTGGCAGAGTCAATGACGTTTGGGTTCTGTTTAGTCTTGTGGGTATTTTCTTGTTTTTTACTCGTCAGAGCCCGATCTTGTCTCTTTCCCTCTTCATTTCTCCGTATCCTCTGTACCAGTTTTTAATGAACTCACTTTCTTATCTACCTTTTTTCATTTGATAAAGTGTTATTGAGTCTTACTCTTTTCCGATGATAAATAAAGTACGTTAGATTATTACATTTGACCAAAACAAATCTTCCATAACTTACTGTTGATGATTTGATAAGTAGGGTAAAGAGAAGACTCATGTTTGTTAATCACTTTGTTTGTTGTGGACCATAGAAAACTATAGCCATAAGCCATTGCTTATATAAAAGCCTAACAAAAACACCTCAGGTTTAGAAGTTTGGATCCGAAAGGGTGCAACAGAACTTCCCTTACTGGGACTCTTCCCACAACACTTGTAAGACTATTGTATCCAACAATAATTGTAAGTACAGTCAAACCAGGGTTTTAACTTTAAACTATATGAAGAAAAAAAAGACCAAGGCAGCCTAGAAGACAACAAAGATCTTTGAATAGGAACAATGTATCAAGGTAGAGGGCTTCCAATGACCTATCTATCTTATATATTGTTAGAGATCTCTCCCAACAACCGATATGGGACTTTAGTCCCTAATACGCCCCTTCGAGATGATGGCTCTCTGGCATCAATCTCGGAATGTCCGGGCAAGGATCGATGGGCCGACTTTGGGCTGGATCGATAAGGATCGGGTTGGACTGTGTGGATCGTGGGCTCTGATACTATATTAAGTTAGATGGGCTTCCAACCTAAAACAAATTGGTGATAAATAGAGTGACTCATATATCTTATATATTGCTAGAGATCTCTTGCAACAACCGATGTGGGACTTTAGTCCCTAATACAATGTTCATCGAAATTAGTGTACCAAAAGATCTCGGTTATACATTTTACAAAAGACATAAGTGCTTAAAACTGATCGTAAGAGGGCCATAAACTAGTTATAAGTTGACTTGTATGTGATCCCCAAACTTGCCCCCAAATGAGACTTGAAATTGGTTGGCTAAACAAGGCATAGCAACACACGCAAATACCACAATAAGCCCGGTTAAGGCCCAATATTCTTTTAGATTTTATTAAATAGTATTCGGTTAAAATAAACAGAGATGGTCCACATTTTCTTTCAGCGGTGCTTTGGGCCACAATTATATGAAACTAACAATCCTCTCAGGGTGATCTTATTGATAATTTGACTCCTTTGGGCCAAAGACTCCTTTCGAAGGAGGTGCAATGGCATCATGCAGCGGCTGGCAAGGGTAATGTCGTGGTAATGTAACAGATGGTGTCGTGATGTCTCTAGTCTCCATGTTAGGATAATTTTACCTAATTCAAGTTGGACTTGTTATATGATACAACTCCAAAACATAAATATTCAAATTTAGCAAAAGGGTATGAAACATGATCCCTTCGTTTAAATTTTATGTCCCACACAACCTCCTCTGAAAGGACCAATCATGTGTTGGCATCCTCTGTCCATTAAACTGAGACAAACAAAGTTCCTAAAGTATAAATTTACAGTTTACGAAAAAAATTAAAACATATTGATGGTTTTTGGACAAGGAACATGTTCAGAAATGGACCTGATATATCTTGAATAGTCATGTTGTAAGTTTCACTTACAGGAGGCAGCTGGTATGTCGTTATTATCCGGCTGCAGATGGTTTCATAATTTATCATTAGAAGTAATAGACCCACTAAAAGGGAAATTAATAGCCATTGGTCCATAATCATGATTCTCAAACTGGAAATGCAAAATACTCTTTTGAATATGTGTATGAAATCATTTGCTTTTCTAGACGGATAAGCCGTAACAGTTAATTAAAAAAAACTCGAAAAGGATAACAACGAAATAAAATGCACAACAAAATAAAAAAAGCTAATAATGACAAAACGAAATCTGGTTGCATTATAAAATTTAATAAGGGGGATGAATTTGTCACGTGGACACGCGCGGGCAGGAGAACGCGTGAATATAAGCAAGTGGAAAATGGCTCTTTCAGAGAATCAAAGGGCGGACATAGAAAAAAAGGAAAGTGACTAATCATCAATCCTACGCGGCAAATATGTGAATCTCACGCTTCTTTAAAGATTCTTCTTTTTCCAAAACCAAACAACTGTTGTTTATTTTCTCGTGATTCCTTCTTTTTTTTTCCAACGAATATTCCTTCACCAAATTAATTTTCTCATTCCCTATCTCAAATTTTCTCCTTAGATAAAATATCTCAACAAACAATGTGCTACTAATTACCTGGTGAGCTTACCCATAGATTATTACATTAGTCTGATGTACAGATTTGTTTACGTCTCTCTGGATTCTGTTGTTTTATTTAATTGGAAAAATAGCTTTATGAGTGTGTGACTCTTAAATTTAGTAGGAGGATTGTTGAGTCTTCGTTCTTATCTTCAACGTTTAAATAGATTGAGAATAGTGACGCCAGTCTTCCAGGCCAATCTGGATACGACCAAAACCGAATCTGATACCTTCGAATATTCACACATCACCATATCCAAATTTACCTATTCACCCTTTTCTTTCGTTTTATATCTAAAACAACCTCTTTTTAATTCCACAACCTCAAAAAGATTCGTTTTAGGTACGCGACGACACGACCTCGAATCCTCCTCCTCCTTCATTCATGTCCTAAAATCTCTCCCAATCTCATCCATGTTTATTATTCCTTTCTCTGATTCCATTTAGATCCATTTATTCTTTCTCCATTTCAAAAAAATAATCCAAGCTGCTCCACTCACTTCTCTATAGATCTACCTTTGTTTACTTTTAAACACCCATAGAGATTATAATAAAAATATGGAGATTGCCCAGAAAATGCAGAGATGTCATGAGTATGTTGAAGCACTCAAAGAAGAACAAAAGAAAATTCAAGTTTTTCAACGAGAGCTTCCCTTATGCTTAGAACTCGTTACACAAGGTATAACTTTATATAATTAAAATTCAAAAAACGTTATACTAATTTATCTACCTCTTTTTCAAATTTGTTTTGATTTATGTAGCGATCGAAGCTTGTAAAAAGGAGTTATCCGGTACATCAACGACGTCAGAGCAGTGTTCAGAGCAGACAGCAAGCGTGTGTGGTGGTCCTGTCTTTGAAGAGTTTATACCTATCAAGAAAAGAAACAACGAAGACGAAGAAGAGGGAGAACATGAATCTTCTCATGAGATTGAGAAGAGTGACGTGGACAGTAAGAAATCTGACTGGCTTAGATCTGTTCATCTATGGAACCATTCTCCGGATCCAGACACAACAGATGTGTCTACTCCGGAACGTGTCGTAGTAGTAGCTAAGAAGGCGAGAGTTGTTGAGGTGAAACCGAGCAACAACCGTGGTGGTTTTCAGCCGTTTCAGAAGGAGAGAAAACGTTTCTTGTCGGAGACTGAACTTCAGCCGGCGGTGAAAGCAATCACGCCGGAGCCGGCGGCAGCTCCGGCGACGACGACTTGTTCAACGACGGAAACAGGAGAGAAAGAGACGCAGAAGCAACAAACGCAGTCGCAAACGCATAGAAAACAAAGGAGATGCTGGTCGCCGGAGTTACACCGGCGGTTTCTTCACGCACTTCAGGAACTAGGAGGATCGCATGGTAATTAAAAAAAGATTAATTTCATTAACGATGATTATCTCTTTTCTGATTGGTTCATTGGTAGTTAGTAATATAAATTAATAAATTAATCATTTTTTGTTGCCAATGTTTACAGCTGCAACACCGAAACAGATTAGAGATCATATGAAAGTTGATGGATTAACAAACGACGAAGTTAAAAGCCATTTACAGGTTACTTCTATGTTTAATTTGGATTTGATTTGAATATTTCTAGCGTTTTATTGGTAATTAATTAATATTTTTGATTGTTGTTAATATTTTCAGAAATATAGACTTCACACAAGAAGGCCAGCCACGTCGGTGACGTCCCAGGGTAACGGAAACTCGCAACAACCGCAGTTTATGGTGGTTGGAGGGTTATGGGTGCCGTCGTCACAAGATTTTTCTCCACCGTCAGATGTAGCCAATAAAGGTGATGGTGTATGCGCTCCGGTCACGGCACTAACACGGCAATCTCCTAAGCGTTCTGTGGAGAGAAGTAGTGGCAGGTGTAACTCACCGGCGGCATCTTCTTCTACGAATACAACTACAACTTCTGCTTCGCCTGTGTCATAGTAGTCATCAATCTAGTGGGTTTGATTTTGTAGGTTTAATGCAGGTGAGTGTAATAAGATTTGTAACCAAAGAATGTCCCTTCATAAGCATATATATAAGTAAAAGAGTCTTTGTTTTCTATCATTGGATATATTGTCTTGTTACTTTTAGATAACTTCTATTTAGTGTTTGATTTTCTTATCCGTTAGTACAAATTCACTTCCATTAGATGAATCCCATTAAGGTTATAGAGTAAGAATCTGAGAAGAAAAATGACTACTTTCTACAAGGATTTTTGCTTGTATGGTATAAACATAATTAACATTCGTCTGATGTCCATTTATATGATAAAAAGCAACATCCATTATGTCACCTTTGTAAATAGGTTTTCCAAAAATAGTGACTTTCCAAATTATCACTAATATAAGAAAAAAGCTGTACAGTATATATATCTATATTATTAATGTTTGGAAACATGAATATCACTAATATAAGAAAAAAGCTGTACAGTATATATATCTATAGTATTATATTATTAGTGTTTGGAAACATGAATAGGTATTTAAAATTATAATGATTGGAAACAATGATAGTCTACAAATCTAATGGGCTTATTTATTAAACTAAAAATTACTGCGGCCCAAAGTATCATTATTATTGTTTTTGGATTTCTATCATTGATATTACTTTATTTCTGAAAATTATTTATACATATATGTATTCATGTTTTAAATGTATTAAAAATAAATCAAGAATAATGTATATTTTATTTATATAATTTATATTGACTATTGTTATAAATTTTTAAAAGTGATATACTAGCCCTTCAATTCTTCATGAAAAAATTAACTTAAAAATTTGAATAAATTGTTTAATGTATATAACTTTGCACCAAATTTAGCAAAAAATTTTTTTATAAACTATTAATAAAATGTTTACGGGTCATAATATTTTACGATGCCCCTGTTACACAATACAGTGATGAAATACAATGTTTAAATAATATACTATTACTTAGTCAAATTGGAATCATTAAATTGTAATTTTTGAAATGTTTATATATACCATAAAAACAAATACCCGCCCAGTCGGGCGGGTTATGATCTAGTTTACTTTTAAAATGCGAGATACTCAGCCAATCCATTGAAACAAAATTTAGCTGAATATTTAATTTTCGTGGTCTGCAGATGGGCTCATTTTCGACGTCCATAGTTTAAGATGGTATTTTGTGGAATATAATGTTAGACTTTGGTATGTTTCTTCTCTCTTGTCCATGATGTGAACTTTACTGTGTAGATAAATTGGGGTTAGTGCTGCTGTTTATTCCTGATGCTTTAGCTTAGTTGACCTAGGCAGAGAGACCTGAGTCCATTGTGTTTACAAAGCAAGTAGCTGCATGCATTTGCTAATGTTAATATTGAGTCTGTTTTTTTCTTGATTGCTCCTTAGAGATACATCATAGAACCGATATATATGATGCATAGAGCAGCTGAAAAATAACTGGGAGCCATGCATCAAGAGCTCAAAATTTCTCACAAGTCTTTCAGATTAATAAATAATTTGCTTTTGGGTTTAAACCTCTGACAAATTTTGTTTCAAGATTACGTGTTGCTCTTATGAACGTATATTGGATTTGCCTTATATGTGTCACAGCTTTTACATTTTCAATCCCATTCTTGAAATGTTGGTTCCCATGTGAAACATCACTTAAACACCAAAACCAGTTTGACACTAATTATTATGCTTCCACATCAACACATGTTACTGTTATGAACGGGGGATATATACCTTCATTTATAATACAATTAAACGGATTCAATGTAGCAACCATATTCTGGAAATATCTAAGTGGAGACAGCAGAGAGGTGGCAGGTGTTTCACCGCTCTTGTGCAAATGATGCCGGATTAAACAAAAGTGCGTTTAATTATAATTATATAATGATTACTCTTTTCATGATCCTCACTTAGCTCTCCCACCACATGTACCAGTAAACAGATGACTCGGGACCATCCTTTAGTCCTTTTTACTTTGAGAAGGCTTGTTCACACTTTGGTAATGATGAAAGAATGTCACGTGGTGACTCGTGACTAGTGAATATGTAAAAGAAAGGAAACCGAATGTTTTCGGATCGCGAGTTGTGGTGAATGTTTGGGTTTTAATTTTCTGGTGAGTATTTATATTTTAACACACTATCTTTTTTTTTTTTGATCAAAGACACACTATCTAACCAGCAAGATTTCCACATTTTTCTACCCATAATAAATAGAAAGCCTTTGGTATTTTACAATTTACAGTAACCAATTATATATTACATTATATAGTTTTTGCTTAAAATTTGAACATACCATATAGTTTTATATATGTTATATCGTACCCCCAAAGACAACCAAATGGTTTATTCACAATTAGTGTTTTCTTTTATTATAAATAAATTGTATTATGTGACCCTCCTTTGGTCAAATTGTATATCTGTAAAAGCCTGTAGATCTCATGTGCTATAATTGAAACTACGAATAAAATATACGAAACTTTGTCCTTTTAAATGAAATATACGATGTCAAAAGAAAAGAAAAAACGTAAATATATATACAACCGAGAATTCTAAATTAATTTCTCAACTGGGTCAAGTCAAACTATAAACTCGAGATATATACATTTAGAAAAGTCAACTCTAAATATTTAACAGGAACTATTAAATAATATAGAACAACATCTCGATGTCAGTTTACTAGAAAAAAAATATGTTACGAACACAAATACACAATTTGATTAATAATATATATATCAATGTTAGTATTAAAGTTAATTGATTTATAATTGATGGTTAATGGTTTACTTCACATCAAGTTTAAAAAAGGTTTAGATGTCAATATGTCATGTGAGATTGATACACTAGAAACAACATATCTTTGTAATAATTATTATCGATAGATTGATGACAAGCGCGTTGTTATAATTAATTAATTGTCGGGTAATTAGCTTAATTTGAGACTAGTTCGGTTATGGTAATGAATTTAATCATTTCCTTAGAAGAAAATAAAACAATTAAAAGCTCGATTTTCTGCGACCGTTGATTTTGACGTAGCATTGAAGTATACCCCAGAGAAGGAGGCAGGAAAATAAAAAAATTTTGAAGCTCGGAAGAACATTCGGTGTGAAAGGAGACAAAACTACTCGTGTTCTGTAGTATATGCCTTCTTTGTTTTTAATGGAAGAAGAGCTTATGGTGTTCCAGTGAAGAAGCTCTTACAGATCTGATCTGAGGTAATCTCAGTGATCTAGATATATCGTCGTCTCCTTCTCTCTTTGCTTTGTGGTTTGGAGTAATTTAGGGTTTAAACAAAAGGAAAAGTTGCCGCTTCTTCACGTTAAGTATTTTTTGGTTTGTAAAAGTTTTGATGGTTTCACTGTCATACTCATCAAAGTTTATGAACTTTAGGTTTCTCTTGAGAAAAATTTAAACGTTTGGTGGACGTGTCGGTGATAAGAAAATAGATTTGTTTTGGTTGTTGTCGGAATTTTAGATGGCTACATCGCCGGCACAACCTCCTGTTTCAACTTCTCCACTGTCTTCGCCTCCGTTGAGCAACTCTCTTCCAAGTAACAATGCTACTTCACCACCACCGCCGTCTCAGTCTTCTCCTCCGGCCACACCACCACCGTCTCAGTCTCCTCCTCCGGCCACACCACCGCCGTCTCAGTCTCCTCCTCCGGACACACCACCGCCGGTGACTTCGCCGCCTTTGGGCAATTCTCTTTCGACTAACAATACAACTTCACCACCACCGGTGACACCGCCGCCCACTCCATCACCACCGCCACCAAACGAAGCTCCTCCTCCGGTTACAACTTCACCACCAAGTGGATCACCTCCTCCTCCTCCTCCTCTGCCAACACCACCTGAGATCTCTCCCCCACCGCCACAGCAAGTGACCCCCTCACCTCCTCCTGCCATTCCACCACCACCACCGTCGGTGCAGACACCGCAGGCTTCTCCTCCACCACCTGCATCATCCCCACCACCATTACCTTCTTCCCCTCCACCTCCTTCATCTGTTCCTCCTCCACAGTCTTTGCCTTCACCACCAACCTCTCAAATCTCTCCTCCTCCGCCCCCTTCAGAGCGTCCCATTCAGTCTCCACCTCCACCTTCAGAGCGTCCCGTCCAGTCTCCTCCTCCACCTTCACCGCCTTCAAGGCCTCCCACTTCATCTCCTCCTTCTCCTTCGCCGCCTTCAGATCGTCCCGTTCAGTCTCCACCTCCACCACCAAAGGATACTAGTCCACCGCCTTCAGGTTCTTTGCCACCACCAACATTCTCTTCTCCCCCTCCTTTTCAAGATTCTCCTCCCCAAGTACCTGTACCAGATTCCAACAATCCTACTCCTAGTGCTCCTGACACTTCAAATCCAACTCATAGCAGTAGTAGCATTGGCACTGGAGCCATCCTTGGCATCACTGTCGCAGTAGCGCTTGTGTTGTTCACTCTCATTGGCCTCCTTGTCTGGTGCATAAGAAGACGAGAGAAACGTCTTTCAGCTGTTAGTGGTGGCTACATTACACCCTCACCAATGAGCTCCTCTTCTCTAAGATCAGGTACTATATTTTGATTAACATGACCCTTCTCTTTCTTACATGTACCGTTTCTTGATCTTCTCATTACATTTATATCTACAGATTCAGCTTTTTTTAGAACACAGTCATCTGCACCTGTAGCATCTACAAAGCGTTCAGGGAGTCAATTCTCACAATCTGGCGGCTTAGGCAACTCGAAGGCCTTGTTCTCGTACCAAGAACTAGTCAAGGCAACAAACGGGTTCTCGCAGGAGAATCTATTGGGTGAAGGTGGATTTGGTTGTGTATATAAAGGGGTGTTACCAGATGGGAGAGTAGTTGCTGTGAAACAACTTAAAGTAGGTGGAGGACAAGGTGACCGAGAGTTCAAAGCTGAGGTTGAGACGCTTAGCAGAATCCATCACAGGCATTTGGTTTCCATCGTGGGACATTGCATCTCTGATGACCGTAGATTGCTTATTTATGATTTTGTCTCTAACAACGACCTTTACTTCCACCTTCATGGTAAGTAATTAAAACAACATTACAATTCATACACTACTGTTACTTACATTATATCTTCTGAATGTAGCATCCAAAGAAGTTCTGGACTGGGTAACACGTGTTAGAATTGCTGCTGGTGCAGCTCGTGGACTAGCTTACCTCCATGAAGATTGTAAGTTGTTTCTCTACTCACTAATCTAAACCTTATAAACCATTTGACCATTCTTACTGAGATGTCTATTGTCAGGTCATCCACGTATCATTCACAGGGACATCAAGTCTTCTAACATTCTTTTAGAGGACAACTTTGATGCTAGGGTAACACATTACTCTGTTATTCTTGTTTCTCATGGTGGTTTTGACATCATCTAACCTCTCACTCTCTCTCTCGTAGGTTTCTGACTTTGGTCTTGCAAGATTAGCTCTTGACTGCAACACTCATATCACCACAAGGGTTATGGGAACATTTGGGTACGTGCTTGCTTGCCTACTTTGATTACAAAAGTCACATATCTGGCATCTTAGTTGAATTTTTTTGTTTCATTCAGCTACTTGGCTCCTGAATATGCATCAAGTGGGAAACTAACAGAGAAATCAGATGTATACTCCTTTGGAGTTGTTCTTCTCGAGTTGATCACCGGACGTAAACCTGTTGATACATCCCAACCAATTGGAGAAGAGAGCCTTGTTGAATGGGCACGGCCACTGATAAGTCATGCCATTGAAACCGAGGAGTTTGGTTCTTTAGCGGATCCTAAGCTTGGAGGAAACTATGTGGATTCAGAAATGTTTAGAATGATTGAAGCAGCAGGAGCCTGTGTGCGCCATTCAGCTGCCAAGAGACCCCGGATGGGACAAGTACTTAACATTTTCTCTTCTTGTTTGCTCTATTTTTGGTTAGAATCTTGAAAAGGAATCTTGAAATGTTTTTCTTTTTTTGCAGATTGTGAGAGCTCTTGAGAGTTTATCTGCGGAGGATCTAACCAATGGGATGAGACTAGGTGAAAGCGAGGTGTTTGACACAGCTCAACAGTCAGCAGAGATCAGATTGTTCAGAAGAATGGCTTTTGGTAGCCAAAATTACAGTACAGATTTTTTCACACATAGTAGTTACCACAGCAGAGACCAAAACGTGTAAATATCCATACACAATATTGTTTTTTTTGATCTCTCGGTGTTAAGAGGCAACAAAACTCCTCAAGAACATCCAAGTTTTTCTGAAAAGCTCCCAAGCCCACACATCTCAAAGCAGAATCTTCTAGAGTGCTCAAAACAGTATGAATCTCCTTTTGTTTCCTAGTTTGTGTTCATGTTCTTGTGTCCATTTGGTGAAACTAAAGAGACTACCAAATCAACTTTGCAGAAACAGAGGAGCATGTGGTAGAGGAAGATGAGGGATAAGGGTGTGTTTATGTTCTTGAATAAGGGAGGTTTTGATTCTTACATGAAAGCACTTTTTGTATCTATTTTTTAAATCTTTACCTTCAAGTTTTGCATATTCTGCGCCATGTCTCATTCTTTTACTTTTATGATAAATCAACAAGGATCTTTCTTTGTGTCTCATTGAAGAATGTGTTCATGTGACTCAAGTTATACATGTAAGAAGACTGATTTACCCCTATGAATCACCATGAAGAGAGAGTATAATCAAAGGAAAGTAGGAAACGAAAGATTGTTTAGTTGCTTTGACGTCCAAGATACCTAAACAATTGCTTTTTAAGAAGTGTCTAAAAATCCCATGTGGATTTCATACAGTATGAACAAAAACAAATACATAACAAACACATGGGATGTTGCTTTGCGTTGCATTGTTGATACCAATATTGGCAAAGGAACATATTCCTTTGACACAATCCTATGTTACCTCTTAATCTATGTTTCCTCCTTCCTTTATATCTTTGTTGTTTCTTACCTCAACAGTTTACAATGCATCAAGAACAATGGAACAAGATTGTGGTGCTTTTGCAGCAGATTGTGTTGTCCTCTGTTGCTGCTGTGAGTGCTTTATCCTCCAAGTCTTTATCTTCATCTTCTTCAAGACTCCTCGTAGAGTTTCTCACAAGATGAAGAGGTTTGTGATCAGGAGGCTCAGAAGAAAGAAGAGAAGAGACTCGAAAACCTTCTTACCTTCAAAGAATGATGATTGCAGAGAAGAGAAGCCTTTGCCTGGTGATGTATCCAGAGTTAGTTGCATGGAAGATATTGAGGAAGTGTTGCAAGAACTCTCCATGGAGGGAGAGTTTGTGTTTGGTAGTTTCTGGCGACAAGGAGAAGACTCTACAAACGATTTAGACTTCGGAAACTCTCAATATGAAATAGAAGAAAAACAATGATCATTCCTTTGTCATTGCTCATCACACAAGATGTCTTAAGAGGACTGATCCAAAGCGGTATATAACTTCCTTTCTCTAAGAATGACACTATAGATTCAAAGGTATACTGAAAGAGGAAAAAGACTTAGATGCAACTACTGGCTATCTCTCTACTTTGTTAATCAGGCAAGGCTGCAAGAAATCAGAAATGTACAACAACTGGTTAACTAAGCCCTTTCCTCAGGTCTGAAGCAAATATATTTACGTCCTGCAAAGTCAACTAATGGTTAACTCATGATTCAGGCTCTGATCTCCTCACTGATCTCTTTTTAGCTTCTAATCTTGCAGTAAACCCAACTGTTGTTGGCCTTATTGACCTCTGCCTCACCATATCACAGTACTCAGGGTCATTACACTGACCCTCATACCTTAGCCACTGTATCATCCCATGGTACATTGGGAAAAACCTCATCTGAACAGCAGAGTAGATGAAGTAAGGCAGCAACGTGGACACAACCACAAAGAGAGTGATGACCCAGTAAGAAAGTGATGGAGCCAGAGCTTCAACAAAGACTCTATACGCACTTGTTGATATACTTGTTGGAAGCTCTCCGTACACAGTCATGAAGAGGTACCAAACGATGATGGAGCCCCAAATGACAATGTGCTGGATCAGTGTGAAGTAACTGATGGCTAATGCCATCTGCAAGTTCACAACCCAGACTATGCATGTGTACATTGTCCCTCCTAAGATCTCTTTTCCAGGGGTTTTGCCTTGGTGGTTGAAAGCTTGTGATTGGAGGGAGGTTTTGCAGAGGAAGAAGATGATTACTGCACTGTAGAATCCGTTGAACATCCATCCAAGTATCCTGCGCCAGCTGAAGAGAACGTTCTGCACACCTTCTTGGTATAACAGTGGAAACTAAACCAAGACAAAACAAAGAGTTTGGTACACATTTTTTTGACAAGTGAGCTGTTTTAATGAAATGAAAAACAATTTTACCTTGAGACAGTACCGTGCAGATACATCTTGGTCGAAGACACCAAGAGCAATAACCGGAAGGGACGAGAAGCAAACATTGTAAAGAGATAGGAACCAGTCGTTGTAAGCAGGTGTTGATGAGAATGTTGTGTATGCTTCATATAAGAAGAGAGTGAAACCAAATGTAATGTTCTTGTAGAAGAAGTAACAAATCTGTGAAACAGAGAAAACTAGTGTCAGACCAAAAAAAGGCTTAAGAGACTCATGTCACAGTAAGGGTTATATGTATACCATTGTTGAGATACGTCTGTAACACCAGTGTCCATGGACTAGTAACAAACGTTCCAGATATCTAAACTGAGCAATAGCAATGTCGCTTGACATTACAGCCTGCATACCTTCCACACCGCTAATCCCAACACCTATATCTGCTTCTTGAAGCATTCCAACATCATTTGCTCCATCACCAATAGCTAAAGTTGTTTTACCGTTTCCAGATTTTACTAGCCTTGTCACCTATATAGTACTTTTTGAGAAAATATTGACAGCAACAAAAGTGTAGTAACCAAAGTAACAAGTTCAAGAAACTGACCAGAGCTTTTTGTTTTGGTGATGAACGACAACAAATGACAGAAGCACAACCAACAGCTAGCTCTAAGAAGATGTGTTTTATATCATCATCCAAGGCGTAAGCAAGTGACTTCCCATCAATGATCAAAGCAAAAGCATCAGAGTTCCCACCAGAATACTTTAGCTGACCTTTTCCATTTATTATCTGCAACAAGACATTCTCTTTTGATGCCTGCAAGATGAAAACAACCACTCTGATTCATTACATCTACATAATCTTCTGAATCAGTGTGTTGGTTATTTTAGTTTTACCTTTGCAATGGCATCTTTCTCACCGGTTTTCTCCAGTGAGAGGATTTCAGGGGTCTCCAAGGTAATAATGATCTGCTTCATGTCTTGTCTGAGCAAACTACTGGCGAAGCTGTCAAAGAGATACATAACAAAAGAGTTCATAGAGTGGAGAGAATGAAACAAAACAAAAAACTATATGGCATGAACATAAAGAGTAGGTGATACCCAGAAACCGATACCCAATATTGATAGCAGTCTCCATTTTGTCACCAGTTAAAACCCAAATCTTGATTCCTGCTTGTGCTAGCTTGTCAATGCAATCAGGGACCTAAAAAAACAAATGAAACAGGGATGAGATGAAGTGTTTTCAACACTATACAATGATTATATATGTAACATTAGTGTCCATGCTTACTCCATTTTGGAGTTTATCCTCAACAGCAGTAGCTCCAAGAAGGATCAAGTCTTTCTCAACTTTCTCTGTGACTTCCTCTATCAATGATTCTCTATCAGCACTAACTGAGCTCTTGGCTTCACTGATTCTTTCATTGAAAACTTTATATTCTTTCTCCTCAAGTTCACGGTATGCAAGTATTAAAGTTCTTAGCCCTGCATCAGCATACTCGTTCACATGGTCCCTTGTTTCCCCCTCAAACTCTCTACCATTCTTGGAGAGTCTCTCAAACATAACACTGGTGAAAGAAACAAGTTTAAGTTCAAAAGGAAGATAATGTCTACTTTGTTTCTGAAGTCATACTCATAGGTCACACTTACTTATCTGCTCCTTTACAAAGTAGTATGAGCTTCCCATCTTCATCCTGCACTATCACTGACATTCTTTTCCTTGTGCTGTTGAACTCAAGAACGTTCAGGACTTTGTACAACCTGCAACACAAACCAATTTCACTCTCAAGTAAGTTTTCAAATATACAAGAAAGAAGAGGAGAGGGAGCCAACCTTTCAACTCGTTTACCAGTCACAAGATCAAGCTCTCTTACAGATATGGTAGTTTGAGTTCTGTTATAAAACTCAAACCCAAGCTCCCTTGCTGCAATAACAAACGCTGCTTCATCAGGAGACTCAGCTTCATAAGAAATCTTCTCTGTATCTTCATCCACTTCAGGTATCACTGTATGACACACCGCAAGTAATCTAAAAAACTTCTGAATAACATCAGCATGAGGTTCAGTGACCCAGTTCCCATTCATTATCCTTTCATCTCTAAAATTGAACCCCTTCACCGTTGGTTCTTCAGCAAATCCCTCTTTACTATACTCCTCATCACTCTCATTACCCTGAAACACCAAAGGAGAACCTTTCCTTCTTCCCATAGCCATCTCAACTTCAGTGACACCACGTCCATAAGCTGTTCCCGCGACAGAACACTTGATGAACTCCATGGAGTTACAAGTCAACGTCCCAGTCTTGTCCGAGAGGATTGTATCCACTTGACCAAGCTCTTCATTGAGGTTAGAGGTTCTTGCACGAGCTGGCTTGTTGGCTTCCTCGTAGTACATGTGGATGTCCTGGTTGATGAAAATGCTCTGAAGGACTTTAACAATCTCTATTGAGACATAAAGAGATATTGGAATGAAGTAACTGTATAACATAGCAGCGGTTAGGAAGTGATAGAAGGCAGCAACATGAGCTCTCTTGGGATCAAAGAAGATACTTGAGCTGTCTGGTCTCAAGTACCATCGTTTCACCACACCATCCTTGTAATCATCTCTTGTTGTAACTCCAAAGATGACAGAACCAATGAATGACATCAAAACCACCATAAAGAACATTAGGTAGATGATCTTATCCATCTTTTTCTCAATCATGCTTCTCTTAGATGGAGGATCAGTTGAGTTTTGTATAACCTTTGTGTCATGACCAGTGAAGATAACCGCACCGAAGATGAACTCTGTGTTCCTGAGCTTTGAGTCTCTGAGAAGAAGCTGTTGAGGTGAGAGAGGGTACTTGGCTCCTTTAATCTCCATGGTGCCAACAAAGGAGTACAAGTTAGCGTTTGGATCCTCGCATTTGACAAAAGCCTCAAAGCCTTTGAAGTTAAAGTCTTCCCTCAAAGAAGAAGTTACTTCTAGTCCTTGTTTAACTTTGAGATTGGTCTCACCGTCTAGATTCATCGTCTCTACATAGCAAATAGCGTCCTCGTAGCTAGATGAGAGGAGAACAAGATCTGCAGGGAAGAACTGGTTCTTCTCTACCTTCACTATATCTCCAACACTAAGAGTCTTCCACTCCTTAGAATCAAAGTTCCCATCTCCTCTATGCACTTTAACTTTCCTATTATTCACCTCAATATCCTAATAAAAACAAAGATTCTATATTTTCAGACACTCTCAGATTCAGAACAAGACCAATGTTCTAAAACAGGATTTTTCAATCTGATATTTTTAAAATCGGTTTAGATGTTCAAAATATCGGTCTAGACATCCGCCTAAACAATAATCCTCTATAATGCGCATACCAATTTCTTGAACATTAAACAAGAACATAAGATTGTAAGGAAGAATCAAGAGTTACCTGCTTGTTGCGGCGCCAATCTTCAACACCTTCCTTAACCATAGTAGCACCAATCACAAAAATGAGAGGGAAAATGGCACTTGCAGCAGTATAAGGAGCAAGGGGAGTGAAAGACAAGACACCAGTGACCAAGAAGTAGAAATTTGCAACTCTTCTAAACTGCTCAAAGAGTGATTTTGGTAAGAAAGTAGCGAGAGTATACTTGGTGGTTCTGACATAGTTGTCACTGTAGTTGCTTGTGTCAGCTTCAGGTGAATCAGGTTCGTTGATGAAAACGAGACGAGAGTAACCTGGTCCTCCGATTTGAGAGTGGGCTTGTTTGAAACAAGCTTGAGAGCATGTGAGTGTGTAGAGCTTGCTTAGCTGTATTCTTCGCCTTCGTCTCTTTAGTCCACTTCCTGCCATTGAGAGATCTACAGTAGACAAAAAAAAAAAGTTTGAATTTATTTTAGATATATTCAAGAAACCCTGAAAATTATAAAGACAAAACTTGTTTTAAGACACAACTGAATTGTTATTTTAACAGAAAACTTGTTTTCAGTTACAACTGAATTATTATTTTAACACAAAACTTGTTTTCAGACACAACTGAATTGTTATTTTAACACAAAACTTGTTTTCAGACAGAACTGAATTATTATTTTAACACCCGCGAGAACATTTTAAAAATTAAGAAAAATATTATTTTTAATGTTTTTAATAAAGTGGGAAAAAAAAGAAAAAGGAAAAAAAAAAGACAGTAGAGCGATTAAGGCAGGACCTCAAACCAACCGAAGAGAAAAGCAGACAAGACCGTGACTGGTTATATTCTCCGACCTCGTTTTCTGCGAACTCTCTCCGGTTACCTAAATTTTTTTGTTTTCTTTCTTTCTCGGGAAAATGAGATTATTTTCTCTGGAAAATGGATGAGAGAATTTGAGTGACTGAGAGAGCTGAGATCAAGAAAGCTTGTGATCTATGATGAAGTTAAGATCATTTTAATCTTTATAAGCCAAGAAATTGGAGGTTGAAGTGAGAGAGATGTTATGGATATTTTTCTGAATTTATAGCCAGATTGATCTTCTTCCTCCCATCCAAACAAATTGGGAAGACAAAGAGGACGACGAGGAAGAAAGAAACAGAGAGAAAGTGCCAAGATTCGGACAAGTCATGGTTCCCTTTCTAGAATAATTAATTAATTAATAATGTTTGATGGATTAACTAACAACAGCAAATCTCAAATCCTCTGATAAAGAAAAAAATAATTAAAAACATCCAATAGAAAAAGGAAACAAACTTTTGCTAGACTTCTTATTTTTTATTTGTATGTTCTAATGATCTGTAAGAGAATTTGATCAGAAGAACATACGAGAGAAAAAAAAAAAAGAAGAAGTGAGAAACAATGTGGTTAGAGAGGAGAAAGAAGAAGAATCGATTGGAGGAACATTAGATGCGCCGTCGTGGCGGAGAGAAAGTGAGACCAACACACAAAATGCGGGTCAAACACACTTTCAAAAATCACCTATTGCATGAATGAAGAATTCTTTATTTAATTCTATATACTCTATCTTTACTTCTTATTTATATTAGAAATTATTAGTATATATACTAAGTGACAGTACCTTTGTTGTTAAACTTTTGCAACAAAGGATTGATCCATATGGTATAAGCCCAACCTTAAATAGGAGGAGGACTGTACATTTTACTTACAGCAATTATGTGATATTATTCTATTTTCAAACCATCATATATATATATATGCTCACATCATTTTTTCTTCATTTTCTCTTTGAGTAATAATATATACCATATATTTGTATTTAAGATGTATTTTCTGTGTGGAAGCTTCCTTAATCTAATAGTTAGACCAAAATTTATAAATTCTTAGAAAATACGAAATGCGTAGAATAGTGGAAGTAAATTTATCGAAGAGCCGCTGTAAAAAAAAAAAAACTTATCGAAGATTTCTAAAGGCATGTTCATTAAGGGTTCAGAAGAAAAATCCACATAGTTCCCAAAAAAATATATTAAAATAACTGTTGAACCTGCCTCGCACATCGCATGAGTTCGCTGCGATGATACCAGATCGTCACTGTTTCAACATGATTCGACTATTATTAAAAAAGAAAAAATTTAAAAAAATTTGATCGAAAAAATAAATTAAATAATTAAAACTGGAGCATAGGGAATCGAGTTTTGAGGTTCACCAATGCTCACGCTCTAATCTAGTATATGTAGATCATGGTTTCTTATGTCAAAGATACAACTCTCAATCGTGAATTTGATGCTAGAAAAGTCTCTGTGTATATTTGTGGGTGTGGATGAAGGCTGCTGGTCTTTTAATTTTTTATATCTATAAACAAATTTCTCCTTTACGTTACATATTATTTATGTTTTGTCTTTTTTTTTTACTATAATAAAATGTTGGATTCGTGATAAGATGTTCTTATGTTTTTTTTAATTGATAAATGAGATGTTCTTATGTTGATTGCAAAAGTTCACAGGTATTGATGAAGATTAAAAATGTTAAACGAAGGTAGTCACGTCACATTAGACCCACCAAAAGCACATTAAATCGATCTTCCAGAGTCATATTATTAAGTTCATCCGTTCCCACCACACAAAACCCCACTCTTGAGATCATATGGGTCAGATATTTTTTTATAATACTGTTTGATTGCTTATAGTGAGGGGAATTTTGAGCTAACTCAAGCTCTACTCCAATACAAGAATGGCTGGCAGTTCAAACAACTTAACTAAATGAGATTTTTTTTTTTTTTTGTAACAAAATGAACTAAACAATGGAAGATCATGCATGTCAACAAATCATGTGCACATTTTTGTTTGGTTTAAAATTCAATATCTCACAAACACTCAGTTTATCATAATAGTGCTAATAATATAATAATGTTTTGCTCAATAGTTGGGGGAATGACTTTATATTCGCAAGAATTTGGTATGTTTTATTTTTGGCGTCAAGAATTTGGTATGGGTTATTAGAGCATCTCCAAAAAGACTCTCTATTATAGAGTTTGCAAAACTCTATATTTGAAGTTTGAAGGTATTATACTCCAAAAGCAAAACTTCAAACCTAACTTTAAAACTATTTGTATTTTATATAATAGTCCTTATCTTTGTCATAACTAATTCAAATTCATAAACGTTTATAAATGACTATCATGTATAAAAATATTATAGAAATATCATTTGATAAAATGTTACGCTAAAATATAAAACTATAAATAGAAATATATAATCAAATATTAAAGTACAAACAAAATACCACATTATATCATGTAATATTGTTGTTGTCTACTTCTAGTTTTAAAATATTTTAAAGATTATTTTGATGATTTTTTTAAATATAAAATTTAAATTTATAAAAATAATTTTGAATTATTTATGAAATAATAATTTTAAGGATTAAAATTATAAATAATAAATATTTAAGATTATTATAAATATGATGTGTAATTGTAAGGACCAAAATGTAAATAAAATATGAAACTTCAAATTTGAAGTTTTGAATAGTGACACTCTATATTTGAAGTTTCACTACTCAAAACTTCAAATTTGAAGTTTTAGAGTTCCTTTTTGGAGAGGCAAAAACTTCATATTTGAAGTTATAGAGTGTCTTTTGGAGATGCTCTTAGGGAACGTTGGCTTTAATGCATAAAACTTGCCACCGGCTTTGTATAGTTTGGTATGCATCATTTATTGAATGAATATGGCTTTCAAGTTTCAACTAATGTACTTCCTGGTTCACAAATACCTCATAATCTACTAAAATGAAATTGAACTATCATATTGATTCCTATATTGTTATGCATGCAATTCTCTTGGTGACCAAAAATTATATTTCTGTCTTTCTAGGTATCACATATATAGAGGCATATTTTTTGTTTGCAGCCTCGTAGGCTTTCTCTTGTTCTATCCATTACTATGCTACAGCAATGAAAAGTGTGTAAAATCTATAATAAATTCTGAAGATCACGATCAAATATTATTTTATGCATTTTGTTTCATAGTACTAGCGGTGGGCATGCGGGTTTACTGTTCAGGTTAGGTCGGGTTATTTGGGATTTGGGTTGTGGTGTTTATGACCCGTTTAGAAACCGAATATGTTTTCGATCGGCTTTCTATATTGTAGTTGTTGTTGTGTCACTACTCTGAATTTAATATAATAAATATTTTTTTTGACAATTTTATTGCAATTTGATAATTGATACGAAGTAATATTTATGAGATATTTTATAATTTAATATTTTCTGATACACAAAAGTAATTGTTTATTACAAATGTCAGCAATAGAAACTATCAAAAGTCAAAAGGTACATATACGCAATAATTAAGTATTACGGGTGATTTTATTTTGTAAAATTTATCCTCACCATGTATGCACACTAACTCGACTTTTTACTCTGTATGTCTAAACGATATGCTTCGTCCACTCTTTTTGTATGAAACTTACTTCGTTCACTCTTAGTCTTACAATCATAACTCTAAGATTAATCAATTAGTCATATATGGTAAGTTGCTAACTGATTAAATGTGCTACTGGTCATTATTGGCACCATGCGAATTTCACTTTACGGCGAATGCGTACCCATCCGAATTCTTCCATATAACTAACTCTTGAATTGTTTGTCGCGTGACTTATCTCAGTGTTCAGAGGTCGACTCGTATTTGATTATAATATGACATCGATGTATGCTAATTTAAGAATTTTTATTGCATGGCTTATCCAGTAGTTTAGAAGTTGGTTAAAAAAGTTGAGCGATTAGATTTAAAATATGATTCGTAGACCTAATTCAAGATTTGGGATTTTCTCAAAATATCTGAATTTGGGATAATTTTGTTTATTATCTAGATATCTATACTAAATTCTAATTCTTATATTCTAACCACCGCGACAACACATAAATATATTGCATATATGTCATTTTATGTAAATACTTTGTATATGCATTTTGTCTAAAACATGACAAAGTCAGCAGTTTGGCATATTTCCGTATGCGTTTATTCCGGATAAATCGAAAACAATGTTGACCTAACTAATTAACATAATCAATTCAGAAAAAGTACATTTTATTTATTCATGCTTTTTCATTAGAAAATCAGATTTTAATTCGAACCGAATTAAAGATAAAAGTTTATATTATATTAGAATTCGGACCAGTCGGGCTGTATTATATGCGTGGTTACCGTTTGGCACGAAACAATTTGCATGATTGCATCCATCCTCGGTCGGAGTCACTAGTCAATGTCGGAAAATCGATTGCGTAGCTGTTCGCTACTGGTCCATTGGTTTGTTGTAATTCCTGGCGCATATAATTAGGACAGGGCAAAATAACCATAAATTTTTATTCAATTCGTCATCTATTTTGATTTGAACTGAAAAATCCAAATATTTGTAATTTTACGATATAAAACAAATACTAAAATACAATATCCGTAAAACACAGTAAACATACATATTAATAATTCTAAGAACGAAAATCTGATCCAAACATTAAAAATTAAGTAAACATTTATAATAAAATATTATTTAGAATTTTTAAATTTATTTTTAATTTTATTTATAAGTATCGAATCAGATATCTGATTAAAAACTAAAAAAAAATCAAATATACAAAACATCAAAAATATCCAATTTATTACAGATCAAATCAAATCGGATAATTGATTATTTAAATGAAATGGATCAGATCACAATACCTAAAAAACCTGGATATTCGATCTATGTCCACCCTTTCATATAATCTACCATAAAAAATTAATTTTCTACCATAAATTTTTAATATACAATGAATTTTTGTTTTATGTAACTGAAACGAGATGTCACACTCTCAATAATGTCGATATGGAAAAAAAGGAAAATGAGACTTTTTGTTATTCAATCAAATTAGAATATCCCCCAATATTCCCCAAGCAAAACGAAAGAAGCTTCAGTAATTACATAATATTAACAATGTCTTATATATATATATATATATATATATATATATATATATATATATTAACAATGTCTTATTCTGTGCACAAAAAAAAATCAATGTCTTATTCAGGTATCTCTTCTTGTTGT